CGCTCATGTATAGACTCATCGTAAGATTTTCACAATTCACCCGCAGTACAGTGTGTGTGTGTGTGTTCTTATTTGTTTATCTGTGTGTGTTTGCATTTATTTATGAACAAGTGTTTGTTTACTGCTGATACTGAACTCTTGACACTGTTTATGTGGACTGCACATTATGTTATACAGAATACACCACATAATACTTTCATTGGCATAAATTTCCAAATAAATCAAAAATGGATTTATTTATCTGTATGTTTAGGACTTATCCTTCCTTCCTTCCTTCCTTCCTTCCTTCCTTCCTTCCTTCCTGCCTCCTTCATGCAGTTTACCTGAAATATTCCTGGTTGCAGAGACTTGGTTGTCAGAATGGACCATGCCAATGTCACATTACTGTGGTTACATTTTAAAGTGCAAGCAAAATAACCAAGCACGTTCTGATCTGTTCCATATTTTGTTGTCCATGCCAGTGTGCTGCAGGCCATCATGAATCAGAGCCACACCAGTATGTGTTAAACCTAACCAGCTTTGGTGTACCCATGACAGGATTACCACATCAAATGTGAGGGCAGTCTCCTGCAGTGGCATCCTGTTGGTGCAGGCCCTTTCATGTCCTGTTAAGACCCGAGGCTTCACTCTATGCACTCTCCCAATCCCCAGTGTAACTAGGACATGATGAGGGGTTGTGTGTATGTGCGTGCACGTCTGTGTGTGTGTGTGTGTGTGTGTGTGTGTGTGTGTGTGTGTGTGTGTGTGTGTGTTTGTGTACATGAATGCATGTGTCCACTTATAAATGTATGTGCTTAATATGTTTATTTTTTTTTTTTTGGGGGGGTGCTATACTGGTGTCCATGTGCATTTGTAACAGGGGCTTTAATTTTCCAAGCCCAGGGTCAAGAATAAATAAGCAGTTGTTTTTCATTGATTTTAGAATCAAAATTCTAGATTTGAAGATTTAAGTTGTGTTTGATCATTTTTAATTCCTGAAGAAAAGAACAAAGCATCCAAGGGCATGTATAACAACACAGAATACAGTAAACAGACTTACTGCCCTTTTATACTCTTTTATCAAAAATAACCACCCTCCCAAAACTAATAATGCTAATATGAACACAGCGTCAGGCAGTATCACACACATTGTCTCAATACGCTGTCTAAGCCCACAACAGCAAGTTCCTGACGCAGTATAAACTCTCTATTAAAGCAGGGGGGAGAAAATCCCTAAACCCACCCTAAAAAAATATTTTTGGAGGAGAAATTTAAAGGAAGATCTTTCCTCGTCAGATGGCAGGGAGTGCAGTAGCTGTAGGTAGGAAAGCGAAGATTGCAAAACATGGACAAAAAGTTGTAACAGTTAGTAGAAATACAAAGTACAGCAATGGGATTATAATTCTACAATAGGATTATAACGGATCCAATACTAATGTAGCAAATCCGGTATAAGAAGTCCAATAAAATAAGTACAAGAAATTGGTACAGAGAGATGAATCCATTAAAATATGTAAATCCAGTGAAACAATTTCAAAATCAGTTTGCCACATCATTTAGAATGCCAGGTATAGCTGGGATAGGGAATAGGAGAAGGGCTGAGTGGTCCTTCATGAATAGTGTTTTCATAAGATAACCACAAAGTTGACCTCTCTATTTCCTACTCTTTCCTAAATTAAATTTTGAGTCTCAGTGAGGGATAATTTTCAGAACAACAGCTGGCACATGCAGATGTGTAACACTGTTAAATATTTAGCGTAATGAGAAGTGGTTATATAACTTGTCAAATTCTTGGCACCCTCAAGAAGCAGAGTTAATTTATACTGTATGAGGTGTTTACTCTATTCAGCAACGGCTTTATTGAATGAACCACAGGCTACTGTGAGCCAAAGCCAAGATAAAGAAATGTTGCCGCTCACTGGGTTAATACCTCAGGCTTGAAAGAGCTAATGCGATAGCTCCCACTCGACTGTCTCTCCACCCGCCTCAAACAGCAGAGCAGTCAGTCTCACATCCTAAACTGACCGCCAACCACAACGTATGCTTCCTCAACATACAGCCCACACCCATGATTAAAAGCTGACAAGATTGACAGATTTGAACTCCTTACCAACTTGTGATTCTGTTCATGGGTCATCAATCTTTGGTGTTTATATGGATGCAGTGAGGGCAATATTTGGCAATGAGTTTGGAGCAAAAGTGTAAGGATCAAACAGTGTGTTTGTCCCAACTAACATAAACTGCAAACATTAGCATGCCAGGCTAACTAGATTACAACCTACAGTAGTTTGTTACTTCCAAAGCCTACATTATTTTGGTATTTTTGGATACTGGACTGGCACATCCACTGTGTGGGAGCCAAGATGCTACAACAGTAGAGTTTAAGGTAATGTTAGTAGCTCTGCCCTGCTCATTTTTTGGTTTCGGGCCTGGCCAGCATTACAACAATAACTATATGCAATTTAGAAAAGGGTGAATTGCAAATTACTGATAACTAACTGAAAAACTAATTTAGTTGTTTTATTCCTTTTGACACACTCTGCAATAGCACAACTAAGCTTTGCTATGTATTTGAGTGAATCTGCTGTAGATATTTACTTCCAAATGTATCATAAAACAGGAGCTTAAGTGCAACCCTTACCCTTACATCAAAGAAGTGTAGCATAAACACATTGTGCCAATCTGTTAATAGGTTGCATGTGTAAAAAGATGCACAGAACAGTTACCACTGGGGAAAGAATTAAATGAAACCTGATTAGCTAACAATGCGGCAAAAGGATTACATTTATTAATCCCAGTACACTTATGCAGTACATCTGGCAAAGTTTAGGGGGTAGGAGTATATATATTAATGTGATAGACTGCAGGTGTTAAACACAGATCTGTCAGAATTTGCTGATACAAATTCTCTGATACAATAATAATATAATAATTGTGCTGTATAGTCTCAACTATTTTCTGCTTTGTTATTATAGACTAGTTTTGTAATTGATTATTGCTAAGTACAAAGTAATTGTATTCACACATACAGTTCATAGTATTATTGACAAAAGTGTTCATGAATGTGTCACTAATTATTTCTTTTCATTTCTTTTTTTTATTATTTAAGAAATAGTAGTTTGACCAAATAACCTCAACTCTAGATCCACTTAATAGCTTTTTACGGAACTTTCCATGTTAGCATTTCTTCATTCTCAGATGAAGTTTGTTTAGTTGTCATAGAGATGGCTCTGTTGACATATGAGCTCAGTAGCTGTTATGATTTCATCTATCGCACTTTTTAGGACTCTTTTCCATGTTAGCCCAAAAGTAAAGATTTTATTATTAACAAGCCTTTTCTGGAGCTTTCAACCATAACACCGGGTTTATATTTTATGACTACTGAACTCATATGAGGTTAAAATATCCAGAAAAGGGCAGACCCAGGGCAATAAGTCGATCTTGAGTTGAGGTTGGTTTGTCAAATAGTCATTTACTTTTTAAATTACATCTGCAGTAGGTACATTTATTGTATTAACATGTATTTACAATTAAGTGAAAGGTTTTAGCCAGGGCAGATAACTTCTACACAGAGCAACAATTATTAATATCACAGAGTTTCATCTAAGGTAAAATATATCCATCCACATATACTTTGGCATCTCTTCTTTAATATAACTAAGAATAAAAATAGAGGCACTGGGCTTTGCATTAAATCAGATGTTGTTTGTGAAATATATGGGAATAAATTGTTTGAGACAGACATTTTACTCTCTATGCTTTTCAGAGCCTTGAAGAATTCAGCTGCTGAAATTGGTTCAAGTCCAAAACAATTTACAGAAAAAATTGCGACACTGTTGAAAGCAATAGAATTTCACAGAGAAGGTCGTGACCCATGAACAATGCTCTTTCTTGCCAAAATATATTTTAACAAACACACACACACACACACACACACACACACACACACAATGAATACATCACCTGTCTGAAACAGGGTTCAGTTTGTGGCTTCAGTTTGTTTTATGGATGCAGGATATAATATCATTTTTTGTTTGTTTGTTTTGAGTTTAAACCAGAAGATCACCTGTGTTCCTCATCTCACTAAGGCCTTTTTTGTGTAGCTGTACTAATCCTCCACGCTGCACCTGAATGTGCCTGTAGTTTTGGACTTTTTTGTAATCTTGAAAGAGCATATTATTTATCATTGAACTTTCTGAGTGAAATAGTCTTCATGTTGCCTCTACATTGTGTGTCATCCTGCTCTCCTGTGAGCATATTCCTTTCCAACATATTTACACATGCATACTTGAAAAAGGAAACCCCTTCTATCTTACCACTTCAGATTTATTAGGCTTTCGTGTTCTCTGTCTTCATGATTGTTACCACCTATATCAAAATGACAAAAGAAATACAATGTGCTTCTATACAAGTTTTTTTATTCACTAGCTCAAACGTCTTGCTGAGTCCAGATGGAATCAGTCGGGGGTGACCGCTCATGCCAAATATCAAATTCGAAACCCCAAGTCTGTCTTGTATGAATCACAGATGAACACAATATGGATGGAAATGGACAAGAAGCAAAATGAAAAGAAAAAGAACTTGAGGCAGTCCAATAATACTTATCTCCTGATGGAATAAATGAACAGAAGGGAATGTGCAACTACACAAACTTCTGTTGCCACATGAATGTTTAAAATCAATCATCATAGGCAGAGGTGGAACTATTGGAGTTTTGTTTTTAGTTGTACTTTTCCCCCTTTTTTTATCTATAGTAAAATATTTTTTTACAACAATATTTAACAAATATTCAGACTATTTCTTTGAATATATTTTTCTTTGATTGTGTTTTCGTAAGTTGTTTTAATTGAAAATCAATTCAATATTAATTCTGACAACTACATAAGTAGTGTGTACTTTTTTTGCTACTATTAGGCACAACTACTTTACAGTCCATTCACTTCTCACCATCACTTCTCAGCTTTTAAAATAGAAAATTATCAACCTAATATATTTCTGTTCTCTGTTTTGGCCCATGGCAGGTGATTGACATCAAAGAGAAATTGAAGGAGTCCAAGAGGTTCTGGTCCAACCTGCCAGATGACATCTGTGCCAAGGGCAAGCTCGCAGAGTCTGATGAGGAACAGTGCTGGAACAGCCACACTAAGGGCAGGTGAGGACTCCTGCTACTCTTTATAACCACAGAAAAGTCACCCACACTCTACGGTTATCACATTTTGCCTGCCAGGGATTAAAATAACCACACACCAGATTAACACTCTGTCTGTAAGTACAATGGTTAGTGCTTATATGGAGAACTTCTATATAAGCTCTGAGGCTCTAATTCCCAGAGGACTGGAGTTTCCAGCACCTCTTATCACCACTGCAGTGTGTAGAGTATCGCTGAGCTGTACAGTAGATTGGACAGTGAGTTGTTTTCTGTGACAGTGAACCAGAGACGCTGGCAGAGAAAATATATCACCCTCTCACTTTGGCCCTCTCCAAGTAGCAAAATCACCAGATGGTGCAATAAAAGACATGTTAATTCTCTTGTTGGTGCCAGTACCATTTTTAAGCATCGCTCTAAATCTGGTAGGTAAATTGAATGCCCAGAGATAATAAAACGTCAGTAAAAAGTCCCACCATGTTAGGAGTGTATTATGAAATCACTGAATTCCCCTGTTACTGAAACAAAAACTATGCACACTCTTTACTTCACTTTGTATAAAACGTTTGAAATTAAATACAAAACGAATGGTTAAAGTGTGTCATTAACACACATGCACAATTTTAATTTAATTAAATGATACACTCTTCCTTTGTGAGCGCATGTTTCCTTTCTCATGCAGTTCATTATTTTCATTGCACAGCAGTTAAATTGTTTTGGAATTATTATGTTAAAAAAAGCAGGCATGTTAAGGGCTCTCTGTAGCAAAGTGCTGCCACTCCCAACATGAAATAGACAATTAAGCCTGACTACACACTTATGTTTTGTCTGATTTAAGCAGCTGACTAGCTCTTATAATTTTGTCTTTCAGTTAGTCTACTTTGTGAGTTCTCAGCCGGTTCCCTATGAGATATTTACACAGGTTTCACAATTTCTAGAGAAGAGACCAATGTGTGGTATTGTGGAGAAAGTAAGTACACAAAGTGCTGGTCCAAAAGATATGGAAACAATGGCTACATAAGAGGTTAACACTGCAAACACAATGGCAAATGAAAACAACTGGGTCAGCTCTGTAACCTCTGTAATTTGACTGCATGACTTTGGGGGCAGAGATGCTCAATGCACAGCAATTTAAGAAAATAACAAAATAACCGAAGAAAACCTCCTCACTAATTTGACTACATAAAAAAAAAAACACTGTAGACAAATTAGCACAAACAAATTGAAAGACAAATTCACCAGTTTCTCCACAGATATGCAGCATAAACAAATATTTCATTAATTAGCAGCTATTTGTGTTTTAAATGTGAGATGTGTGTTGCCTTTTTATATTTGCATGTGTGTTGATTTCTGTCAGCCATCATACAGCAGATAGCCTTGCAGATAGTGTGACTAATGCTGCATTTAAATAATTTGTAGAGACTGTACTATTTTTATTCCTCACAGTTTTTGGATTGCACACTAAAGTGAAATCAAGCAAATATGGACGATAACATTGTTGTCGTCTAAACCCTATGGTCAGCCAGAGGTTTTGTCATACTGCAAGGAGATATTTGGTGATTTTAGTTTTTGGTGTGTAATTGTGTCCAGATATTTCCCTGAAGTGGTGAAGGAGGGCCTAACCAACCAGGTGAACAATCCAGAGGTGGATGTGGATATCACCAGGCCTGACACACTGATACGACAGCAGATCATGGCTCTTCGTGTCATGACCAACAAGCTAAAAAATGCCTACAATGGCAATGACATCTACTTCCAGGACTCAAGTAAGTTCTTCAGTCTCTCAGGTGTTTGGATGTGCAGGTGGAGACGAGATAAGTAAAATACAGAGTGAATCGTTTCTTTATTGATTCATTGCACTGCATGTTGGTTTTGATTTGGACAACATCACACACACACACACGCACACACACACACACACATATACTCGCAGAAATATCAACTGGTATTACTGAAATAAGATCCCAGGTGTCATTTATATAGAAACTCATCATATAAGTCCACAGGATGCTTCAGTGTTGCACTGCAGCAAGACTGACATTATTAGCAGAATAAAAAGCTTTAGGTATGGTGACACAGACAATGATAGACAGCCAAGGCTATGTTTAGGAAGATGTACATCTCCAATGCTGCAATGACAGAAACCATTCAGCTGACAAGATGGAAGATTCTCTGGTATTGACTATGAACACAAAATTTTTCGCCTCCACTACATTTTTACTACTGTCATGTTTCCTTTTCTGTTTGTAGTGGTGTCCTCATCATCAGAAACTTGGTACTGGAGCAACTATAATTGTTGCATAGGTTAATAAATCTCAGAAGCAGGCTAAATAATAAAAAATGAAATAAATTTTTTTGATCACCTGTAGGCATGGTCACACCAGTGTTTATGACAATAAGGAATTTTACAGTGGAATTAATTTCAATAAAACCTCCCACAAAATTCATGAGGGCTAAGTAAATTCCTGCAAGTCTTTCACATTGAGGTCTGTGGTGAACTTTTAAGCTCGCTCTGCCAAAATATAAACTGCTCCAAGAGGCATGGTTTAGGGACAATTATGAGGCAGGAGTGCATGGTACAAATACTGCTCCTGAAAAAACTGAACTATTTTTCATGACTGAGCTTGCTTGCTTGCTATCAGACAGCAAGCTAGCTCTAAAAACTATTGTGACTGACTAGAGCAGGGCTTAGCAGCCTTTACTTACTTTACAGAAGCCATTTTCTGTTTATTCGGTGTAATGGCTACAATTTTTTTTATAATTGGGGAATGTAGGAATCACTACAAGCATGATAAATGAAAATGTAAATGTAAAATGATAACCGTTGTTTCAATCTATAACATTTTTTTGCAAAGACACAGGGAGCCACTGGAGGGGTGCTTAAAAGCGACATGTGCCCCCGGGTTGCCTACTCCTAGAGTTAAACTCAGTAGCTCACCACTACAGTAGCCATGCGAATAGGTACTAATGGAGTTGTTCAGTTCATGACAAACACCAGTTCTCCAAACTGAATTGACCATAATGAATCACTATTGTCAGTGGGAGGCTATAGCTGGGCTCCAAACATAGCAGCCTCAGTGGCCCCCCTTGTCTTTTATTGTATTCATCGTCATGGCTGCAGAAATAAATAAACCAACAAGGAAACAGTAATGAAGCACTTATGACACATTTAAGAAAGTCTGCACAGTCTGAAATCTTAGCTATTTCAGCCCTCTTTTCTCATACTGTAATTATCGGTCTAAGGCTTTGGAACATTATTTCCCGCAGTTCTTTAGGTCTGCATTATAGCCTGAGCATTACAATAAGGGTGGAAGGCGATCTTACACTGGCTCCTACACTGAGAAAAGATTACTGTATTTCAGCCAAATAACACTTGACTGGTAGCCTGTTTTATTTTAAGAATTAAGGTAAATTAATTTCCAACAAGTGCTAACTCAGTCTGCTGCAACATAGAAATAGCTCAATAAAAGCTCAGGAACTTAAGGAACAATATATACTTCATATATTGACAACCCCAATATTACAACTTAAAAGTAAGTTGTACATTTGAAGTGCATTTGGACAATAAGGCTGATGATCCATTAGCTTAGGAAAAAAGTTAAACTACATTGACTGTGAATGTTCGAACTGAACGAAACAATTCAAATCAGTAAAGTGAGTTTTAGCACCACCAATATCACTACTAGAATGCATGAATGAGTTTTTTATTTATTTTTATTTATTGTGCTGCTTTCTGGTGACCAGTGCTTGATTCTATATTATACTCTTCCTTTTCTTATACTATATTCTCACTTCCACATTGCCATGGACCAAACTAATAGCTGCTTGTGATGGTATTGTTTTTAATGTAAATTTTAATTTGTGTGATTTTGTTGCTTCAGGTGACGAGGGCAGCAGTTCTGGCAGTGGCAGCGGCTGCTCTGACGGCTGCACAACAGAGTTTGTTTTTGTTGGAACAGAGGCTCCTGTGATCGGAGCCGACAGAAGTGATGAACGTGCAGCAGCAGCAGCCGCAGGCAAGTCACTTTCTCGCGGACCCTCCCTAATGTTGGTGATAGTCGCCCTCACACTCCCACTCTGGGCAATGAAGACTCAATGGAGATAATATATGGGTGTGGCCTGTTCACTGACTTTTATACTGTTACATACAGTATGTTCAACAGCAAGTTCTACTGCTGTTCCCTCACTGGACATGTAGAACCTTCTGGAAACCTGTCGAGAACTTACTGTGTGGTATGGTAGGACTGGAAGTTTGTGCAGTGCTGCATCCTGCTCGTCCCCCAAAGAATGCTTGGTGCCATCAATGAACCAGCTTTCACATCTCTGAAAAAAAGATAATGTGGTATTTTTGCATTATTCTAAAGCGGGGTTTGAAGAACATGCTTCTCTTTTAGACAGTGAAAACCACTGGATCTGATTTTTCAGATAAAAGGGGAATCTATTTTTCTTTTCCTTTGTACGATGAAGTTGTGAAAACGAGACAAAACCCATTTTATCCTATTAGTCTTGTCCCCCTCAAACAAAAAGGAGAAAGTCTTACTGTGTGCATGCATGGAAATGATGTTAACTGACAAAAAACATGTTTTTGTTTTGTTTTTTTAAATGCAGGCTACACAGTTTTGGATTGGTTGGTACAGGATTGTAAAGTGCTAGCAGTTCACCTGGTTTCCCGTTTGGTCATATCAGTGTGGCTTCAGGAAGCAGCGGTTCTTACAGCCACTTTATAGTTGCACATTTAATTATCTCTAAGAAAGTGCTAATGCACTGCACTAAGAGAACTACTTTGCACAGATTATTTTTGTTGGCTTCATAAGTTTATAAAGCTACAGGAAACATCCACCCCATAGAGAAAGAAGATCTATATTTTCAGATCATTTAACTGATTGTATTGTACTTATAAACAGTTGCAGTATGTATTTCACTGGAAGGTACTGTAATGTAATCTTACTGGTTTAGTTAATCGCTACATTTTTTTTAATAAATGTAATATTTGTTTTTACAAACTATTTGATCATGTGTAAAATGAAAAAAAAAGAGAGTTTTTGCAACAACACTAAGCCATTATACTACAATTGCCTGCTAACAATATTCAGTTTCCTGATTTACTCTTTTCAGTTTGGATACTCAACATCCTTTTTATTTCTCAGAGGACTCAGAGTATATTAGTGATATTAGGTAAGTGTTAACATTTTGACTTATTTTCCTGGCTCCCTTGCTTTAATAATTTATGATTATGATTTATTGTGTTTGTTTATGTCATTTGTTTATATAACACATAAGAAAGATTACACATTCATTGTAACCCTAGTCCTGTGAGCTCACATGCAGCCCTCTGACTGGGGCTCCAGGTTTACCTAATTCCAACCTAAGATTTGGCCAATCAGAACCACCCCTAAAAGCTACAGGTTGTATGAGTGGTAATTTTTCTTAAAAGTCATGTACAGAGCCAGCAAAAGAAGCAAGGTGCCAAGGCTGGAGGGCTCTGACTGTACTCTTATAACTAGGGTTACTATTCATTCACCTTCATTCCATCTCCTACAGGTTTTGACCTCAAACAGGCTCTAGAGGTTTCAAGGAGCAAAGCCAATAGTTTGCACTCCACCAACATAACTTAATGGCCATGACCTCTTGTCACACAGAAAAGACCGGTCCCAGAAATGTTGCAGGGATGTTATGGAAACAAACAAAGGGGCAAATGTTCACTGTTCCACAAAAGAGGGCAGTTGAGGCAGCCACCCTCATGCTGGAGTGTGGCTGAAGGATCCAATCCCATCAGTTTATAAGCACCTGAAATTCTTTCATATAGCCAATAAGCACAGCTCTTGTTTTAATAGGGGTCTTCCCCCAAATCTGTTGCTGTAACAAAGTAACAGCAGCTGTGAGCATCTCAAAGAGACCACACACTTCCTGTAGCATAGGCCAGCATGAGGCAAGGGAGAAAATAGCATCAATCTGCACCCTCCAAAACCTGAAAAAATATCTGATGTTCTTAGGCACAAATGACAGGTGCGGGTGAAGTGCAGTGCTTCTGTGGTCCCTTCAAATGAGCGAACAAGTGACTAGAGTAGACTGATATCCACATTGCCACATTTTGCATCAGCAATCTGGTTGTCTTCACAGACAGCACCTTAAGGGAAATCTTGCCTCAGTGGGCTCACATGACTCAGAAGAGAGACCCCCCGTGCACCACAGGCTGCTCCCACTGCAGAACAGATGGACAACCATTTGACCTCTGCTGCCTCACTCCCAGCAGAATCTGCTTTAGGAAAAGGTTACTAAACAGCAGCCTTCCACGAAAACTAGCATGATACAATTAAACCAATGATGCATACATTTTAATTGCAAAATGCGGCAGGCTTCTATCCAACCGAAGCCTGAGGAAAGACAACATTGAGGTCCTCCCCACTGTCAAACTGCCCAGTGTAGTAAACCAATGCATGGACAGACAGTGTGTTTCCATCAACCTGTTTTTTGTATATTTTCCATTTGAGCAGAAGAAAACTGAAAACACCAGATATTTGAAAAAAAGGAAATATTGTTAAAACATTTTTACTCTGTGCTGAGGTCAAAATTTGGCGTATAGGTTAAAACAAAATGCAATGAAAGGGCAATGGAAAGAGAGTCGAAAACAAAAACAAAAACATCACATGTGCTGACCGATGAGGAGACTCTAACCTTTCTGAAAAAAATGCATTAAACAAACATAAATGCCCATCACATCTTCCTCTGCTCTTTTACGTCATCTCAACATCTTGACTAGAGTAGACTTGAGCTAGTATTAAGATATTGTGAGAACCATCTCTACCAACCATATCAATATCAGTATCACAACCAAGACACTGAAGAGGAGGACATCGGTAATAAAACAATAAAGGAATAAAGGAATTACTTTACACGCAGTCCAGGATGCTAAACGGAAACCAAGATAGTCTTAGGAATGGATGTGAAAAAAGTGAACCGGTACTCAACAGTAAAGCCAGGCAGCAGAATTGAGAGTATACAACTAAGAACATAATCTGCTGAGAAGTGGTTACCAGTGGAAAAGTGGGAGACCTCCTCACTTTTCAGGTTGATGACATAAGTTGAGGTGTGGAAAGAGCTAAAATGGGGCCATGCACCATTCATCCAGCCACATACTCCACTACACAGTGATACTTGAGGGGCAGGAGGCCATCTTCATCTCATCATATTCATCTTGTTGTCCCTGTTACTCTTTCAGTCTATAGGAAAGTGGATGCTTGGTTAGAAGGCAATAAGTATTTTTAAGATCTGGTTCGGTGAATTAATTCTGATTGGCTAAAAAAAGTACATACAGATATCTGTGCATACGACAGGGGTGACTAAGCAAGCCTGTGGAGCCCATTCAAGGTCAAAGCCTGTATGAGATAGGATGAACAGGAGGAGGTGCAAGGGAAACTAAACACACAAACACATTTTACTTACCTCTCAAAATCTAAAATGGTGTTTATGCAGAAGTTATATGGGTTACACTCTAGTGCAGTTTTCTCTTGGATATTTTTGGTTTGCTCATGTGGCCTCTGCCAGATCATGGTATCTTAACATGAGCACAGAGAGCCCACCACCAACTGTGTTCAATTAATTAGCAAAAGCACTGACTGGTGCTGTTTCAGTGGGTCAGACAGATGAGACAGATGGGAGGTAGTTAAACAGGATGGATGTCCAGCAGTAACTATTTATAACATGCTGAATATTGAATGAAATACAATTAAAGTAACTAGCTGTCAGCGCTGATGTGCAGCAACGGTTTTCCTGATCGGTTAGGATTCCCCCACCCAAGAGTACAGTCCTGGATAGCAGATAATTGCATTGAAGGAGGTTTCATGTAAAAATCATGCTCTGTTACATGGGACTGTGATATTTCAATTTTAGGTTCAAACGTTTACATTGCTCAGAGAATATATCTACACCTGATGCAGAATGCTCTGACTTTTAGAACTAAAACACAAATAGATGTTTTGTCAGCACTTTTATTTTGGCATAAAGTGCATTGTCGTATTGATTCAATTGGGCAGTAACAGAGTTGCGTTCAGCTCACCTTTGTGCTTTGGCGATTCTGTAAATGGTAAATTAAATAAATATGCAACAGGATGAGAAAAGTTGATTAGAAGTGCAAGTTACTGTGTTATATTGCTGCAGTCAAATATATAAACTCAGTTTTCAAGTATTAAGGAACATTGTGGAAGCAGATATTTCTGAGTCAGGGTTGGAAGTGAGGCGGAACAATCAGTACAGTGTGTGTGTTCAATAATAAGGCAGGAAGTTAGCCGTCTGGCTTCAGATACTGGCATTGTTTAAGCTTTGGCACGGCTGCCTCCTCACTGAGGCTTAACGACTACGTTTTTGAAAGTGTAAAAACTCAGTCAGCATCTGCAGCCATACAAAAGGTCCAATGCACCCGTAAGCGGCTCTACACGATTTGTGATTGCAACAAGAGTTTTGGATGAGTAAGGCTAAGGCAGGTCTTTACTGGTGTTCCTGAAAGAAAGTACATTAAAAAAAATACTGTTTCAGAAGTAGGTTGAATTTTTCCAAAGAGCTTGTATCAGTACAAACAACAGTCTCCTCTCATTACAACGAGAGGAATGTTCATGCCATTTTCCACTGCCTTGTGTATTCCTCTGTCTCTCCTGACAAGCTACCTTACCCTGATCAGACATACAGTATCACTGTCTGAGATGCTTCAGTGCTAAAGTTAATTTGTCTGTGAGCCATATGTATTTTTTCTTTTGTCTCGTTCATTCTCTTTGGCATTTGAAAATCTGAAAAAAAAAAGAATAAAATCGTGGTTGACTGAAGTTTTTTTACAGAATGTTTAGAACAATGTGTTATGCAAGGTCATTTTGATGTTAATCGTTTGCTGCACTTTTGCTAAAACATATGCTGTGTGTGGTACTGTTGTGATTTGCTAAATCAGATAACTAAGGAGCACATTAAGATATTTGGAGCTGTCGGTGCACGGTGTTTGAAGTGTTTTGGGGGAACTGAAGTTGATGGTTATACAAGCAGACATGCCTTACCATTTTTAAAAGACTAAAATGGATTGCTTATTTGGCTTTTGTTACACATTCTTGTATACAGAAAATAATACAAAGGTAATAATAAACATTTTATTAAAAAAAATCACTTTGTTTACTGTAGTTTTCTTTATAGTGTCTCCATTTATCAGTGCTGTACTGTGAAAACTATGTATCTCCATTGTTCAGGAACTTAAAGAAAAAACAATCTCTTTCTGTTTGGATCGCTTATTTTTACAATACCTTGCAAATTTTCAGTCTTCTAAAGAGGCTATAAAGAAAGCGTGGGAAGACAAATTGGACGTGAAGGTCTCAAATTATGTGTGTGAAATTTTGGTTTCAAATAAACTTTATCAGCAGTTATAACCGGAACCAAATTTTATAATATTGGGTGTATGGGAGAACATAAGTCTTTGGGAAAAATGCTGGGGTGTCTACAGTGAAGTTGTGGCATGGAAACACGACTACTACCTTGCATATGGGAAAAAACAATAACTTTTTCATGCCTTCTAAAAGGAGACAAAGGGCCCTATCTTGCCGATCTGAAGCGCAAGTATCAAACGCAAAACGCAAGTAGCTTTGTGGGCGGATCTCGGGCGCTGTTGCTATTATGCCGTCGTACAAAGTCAATTGCGCTGAGTGCAAGATAGAGCCCAAAGAGGTGTTTTCTGAGCTGACCTTTCAAAACCGTTCAAAATCATTGTTGGAAAAATAAATCACGTTTATAATGTGATAACGCTATAGTTAAAGTGTAGTTCAGTCAGACAACTCGCGTTTGAAATGTTAATTACAGCAGTATTGTATAATTTTGGCGTCTAGGCTCTGACCTCATCTCTCCCCACAGATATGTTTATATAGAGATATTGGGGAGTGATGAGCAAATACCTTAAACCCCCTAGCCGGAGCCTACAGGTGGATGCTGGGGTGGTGATGAGGCTTACAGAGCAGCAGGCAGCAATACTGATGCAGAGGGAGAGCTGGGAAATTTTGCAGCTTAAATAGACCACCAGATTGGAAGGGTTAGTGCTTGGTTAATATTATTATTATTATTATTATTATTATTATTATTATGATTATGGAGTGTGAGACATGTTGTGTGTGTATAACAGTGCAGCTCGAGTTGACTGCCTGAACTAGCTCGCAGGCTTCGCTCCATTTAGGTTGAGGCACGAAAACAACTTGCTTAGGTTTAGGGAAAAATCATGGATTGACTTTAAAAAAGGAACTTTTTTAAGAAGATTAGGGGAGCTTTGTTGTCATGGAAACAATAATAAACACATGGTTAAGGTTAGGGGACATTCATAGTCATGCTTTAAAAAAATAACACTGACTGACAGTTAAAAACAAGAAACAAAGAGACCCATCCATCCACCCCGACCTCCTTCCTACACTTTTTGTGTTGCTGTATAACAACATAATTTCTTCCTTTTTCCTTGTCATAATTACTATGTTCAAGTGACAGATTACTTTGTCGCATAAACATGTTGACTTTATCATACAAGGTGGTAAAATAATTTTGCCTGTGCATGTCAACAACCCTGTTTGGGGAATGTTGTTAAGATAGTCCAGTGGTGTTTTTTGTTTGTTTTTTTGGTTTTTATTGGGGGGGGGAGCTCTTCATTGCCTTTATTTTGACAGAGCAGCTAAAGTGTGACAGGAAAATGGGGAGAGAGGGGGGATGACATGCAGCAGAGGTCCGCAGGTTGGACTCAAACCCATGCCGCTCCATGGGGTACATGGGGTGTAAGCACAACCAGGTGTGCTACCGATGTGCCCTTATCCAATGGCTTTTTAAAGGGTTTAATGAGTTAAACGTGTTGGAGAACTTCCTTACTACATAAAAGAACATGCACTCCTTCAACATATATGCCTGTGACATGTGAAAATGTATTCATTGAAAAAAAGCCCTATCACTTAACTAGGAGATAAATTGTTTTCATGTCCATAAAGTGGCTCTGAGTAACCCTAAAGTGATAATATAAAGTAGAGGCATGTTTGAATTTTCATCACTCAACTAACATCTTTACACAGCTATTCAAGTTTATCTTTGGCTAACATTTGAAGAACCTTCCCAAGAATGTTAATACATTTCATAGCTTTTATATTTGACGACTCACTAGGAAGGAACATTTATTTTAAATTTACATTGTAAGTTATTGAGAACTGCTCAGTGAGAGAGGTGAAATGAGTTCTATTTGAGATGCATGAGATCTTTTGTATGATGACTTTAACTTGTGATTAAATCTAAGACTGCAGATTTGTGTGAAAATATGTACACAATCTACAGTTGATGTATGAGGCAAAGCTATAATGTACGACACCACAGACTTATTCTTATAGATTATAGTGAAGGCCCAATTTTAGATGCTAATGCATTTCAGACAGCTTGATGAGAAGCTGAGCTAATACAGTTCCAGGCTAAATTACAGACCACTGCTCATGAAATGGATCCCTTTCTTGAAGAGAATTATTACAGCATGAGAACTAATGAACTCTAATGAATCCTAATAAAAAACAGCCTATTTTGTGTCTTTTCTCTGAGCTAATTTACATCATGTTAATACAAATTCTCCCCTTTTCTCACCTATTTTGTTTCTGTCATTTATGGTCTTTCCTTCTCGACACAGAGTGATATTCGTTCTGAAATTACTTTGAACTTTAAAAAAAAAACCAAATCAGTGGTGATATATTTTGAAACTCAGTGTGACAGAGAGAGTTTAAATAGTCAAATATACTATCTGTAAATATAAATATTGTTGTCGATACTTATCAGCTCTCTTAAAAATAACTGTATATGTAGGTAATTACATTTCTTGCATCTGCTTGGCCATCATTATATTTTAACA